TTAAACTATCTATACACACTGTAAGCAAACATCTTACAAGTCTACTAGACCTAGTAAGAGTTTGAAGGGGAGTGTTAAGATGAGACTACACAAGAGTATGTCTCAGATGATATAAACTACATTACAAGCAATGACGAACAATGATGGAATACCTTCCATCATACATTCTACATCTGAGACATACCTACATAGTATATATAGACTAACTAATCAACAGACAATGAAGTAAGCTGTAAGAGAGCAAGCCAAGTCCACTATCCCCCCTCTTTGTGTAATCCCTCTAAGCCTCTCACATAACCTCTCTTCCCCCTTTCTTAACACAACTCATAACCTACTAGAGGCATAGTGGTGAGTTTTCACTGTCCAAAGTACAATGCAGAACTTTGATGAACTGCCATTGTATGCAATAGGACAAATAACACCAAAGTGTGTCCAATAAGGTAATTTTCTTGGTACCTATTTGTAACAGATAGACTGGACAAACAAAAGTCAATGATGAGTAATGTCAATAGAAATGAGTCCAAGTCCGAGAAATTTAGACACATTGATGACATTTGAATAAACTGTTATATGGCTAGATCTTGACTCAAGCAGTTTTTTCATTTAAAATAATTCCTTTTCCCTCCAAAACTTAATGGTTCTCGTCACCCAGGTTTCTACTGATAGAGGGTGATGTTTCACACAATATGAGTTCACGATGACGACTTCGGTATTACTATAATGCTACATGCAAGTTGTTCTGATACTAGTAGCAACAATCTATCAGCATGGTATCCATAGTGTACAAAAGGTGCATCTTTTCAACATCTTGAAAGTTCTAGAAAGAAAGAATGAGGTACAAAAGAGATTTCCTTCTTCTTCGATTATGCAAAACAGCCTGACTAGCTTTGTCTGGATATATGCACACTTTAAAAGGGTTCTTTGAACTTTCATGCATCTCTTTCTTTCTCCCTTTATTTCATTTGCAAATATAATGATAAGACTATGGTATAAAATCTACAGCAGGTATTATTCCGTCTCTTTAGCAAGCCGGTGGTCTCTCTTGTCTGAGCTGCTGAGAGACTTTCATACTTGTCCTTATCCCGAGTATTGTTCATTTTAAACTCCGCCCAAACGGTACGCATCCACATCACGTGATCTAGAATAAATAGAATTTATTCCGCTGTGCTGTACGGTATATCATCTGCACCTTGAATCGTAACCCGCCGCCAATGCGCCTCTGCACTCCTTCTACACCTTCCAACGCTTGTCCAGCAGGACGCTCTTAGCCAGCCCCATCCGGTCCAGAGTGAGACTAGAGTTCAAGGAGAGGTACCATGGCACGCGGCACAAATACGCCAACACCTGCCATTCCGAAGGTGTCGTTCAGTAAGGTGGAGGACAGCTCGTCACCTCAGCTGTGTGGGGTTCACGATATGCAAGCAAGATCTTATGGATGTACGTCTTATTCTCGAATTCAAATTCGTTCATGCTGGATTTTCGTGCCTGACTGTTTACTGACCGAAATCGCTTGAGTGTAGACAATAATTTCGATCCGTTCCAGAGGCCGGATCATTATATTCGCTATATTGGTGAGCATTGTCTTTCTACGTGAGAGTACATTTGACAAACGCGGATGAACGGACATGCAGAACCCCTCGAGATCGACCTTGCGAAGCAAGTAGAGTATGACATGGATGAACAAGGTACCCGACTTTGGCAAATAATCCATATTTCAACTGAATGGACTCCTGAAATTTACTTGGGTAGACCAAGAATGGCTGAACGTTGTCAACGAAGAAAGGCACAACGACCAACAGAGTAGAGTCTCTCCTGAAGCTTTCGAAATTATCATGGACAGATTGGAGAAGGAGTGGTTCGAGCTGGTGCGCATGCGATATTCATCGTCGTTGTTCATATTGTTTAATGGCTTACTGACTCGTACTGGATCGCTACTTAGACGAAGAACATACCGAAACCGGACATGGCTCTTCCGTCGGAAGATTCGACGTGTGCGATCTGTGACGATGCGGAGGGAGAAAACGCGAACGCGATTGTATTCTGTGATGGGTGTAATCTTGCTGTACATCAGGGTATGCAATTATCCCTCTTAAGATCTTATACGTGCAGTTACATGTAATGGTATTAAATCTAGATTGTTATGGTGTTCCATACATTCCTGAGGGTCAGTGGCTTTGCCGGAAATGTACTGTCTCGCCAGAGAACCCCGTTGTACGTGAACTAAGCTTCTTCTTCTTGCGCGTCTATCCGTGTATAACTTATTCATTGTGTTTTAGTCCTGCATTTTGTGTCCGAATGAAGGAGGAGCATTCAAGCAGACTGTAAGCGGAGACTGGGCGCATCTACTATGTGCAATTTGGGTACCGGAAACGCGGGTTGCGAATGACGTGTTCATGGAGCCCATAACGGGCGTCGACAAGATTAATAAACAGCGATGGAAGCTTGTATGTCTCTGCATTGTCAGTATTCGAAAGATGGGTCTCACAAACAGAAATATAGAAATGCTCGTTATGCGGTATTCGCGAAGGTGCGTGCATCCAGTGCAGCAAGAGCTCATGCTTTCTCGCATTCCACGCCACTTGCGCGCGACGACAAAAGCTTTTGATGCCCATGAAGAGTGCTCACGGATCGGAGCCGGCGACTCTCGCCGCTTATTGCGAGAAGCACCTTCCCGTAAGTTTACTTGATTGATGCTATCTCTCAATTATTCATCATAAATAGAAAGAACAACTCGCTCTTCACGAAGCCGCCCTAGCCGAGCTCGACAATTCTTTCGGTCAGGGTGAATACGATCTCTCAGATGGACATGGACACACGGCTACGCCTCGGACGTCGAAGAAAGCTCGTGCATACGCGAAGACGTACAAGCTCGGTGCACCACTCGTACCTTGGATTATTGTTGACCGAATTATGCAGTATACTGCGCGGATCAAGATCAGCAAGAAGGAACAGTTCTTGCTCCTGGCGTGCCGCTACTGGAGCTTGAAACGCGAGGCGCGTCGTGGTGCACCGTTGTTGAAGCGGTTGCATCTTGAGCCGTGGTCTGCCAGCGCCGCTGGTAAAATACAGTCCGAAGAGGAGGTGGCAATTAAGCTAGACGTTAGTCGCCGTTTTATTCTATAAAATTTGTCTTCGTTTGCATAGGCTGATGCCTGTTCGCTAGTACTTGAAGCGCCTCAGAAAAGACCTAGAATCGGTTCGGATGCTCGCGGAGTTGGCACGTAAACGAGAGACACAGAAGTTGAAGCAGGTACAAGTCCTCCAACATGTTTGTTCGACAATCTTCTATCCTCACATCCCGCAAATGCGGCAAGCACTTGAGAAGATCATGGCGTATGTTTGTTTTCAGTATGATCCTTGCAAGCTTGCTGATCCGATATGTCCGCAGTTTTGATCGGTATAGTTACTTCAGGGACCCCGTCTCGAAAACTGAGGTACCCGACTATTTTGAAGTCATCAGAAAGCCGATGTGCTGGAGTATGATCGAAACCAAACTCAAGACAAACGACTACTGGAACATCAAAGACTTCCAGGTAGGGCTTCTAGAGATTACCAGACGTGGAGGATCTTTTGCTTATGATACTTTAAGGATGATGTTTGCCTCGTAGTCGATAACGCAATGTTGTACAACAAACGCGACTCACCTTTCAGCAAGACCGCAGCTAGAATCAAAACGCATGCAGGTCCAATTCTCGAGGAGCTGAATCAGTTGGGTCGTGTGATCCCTGCAGAGTCGTCCGAGTCAGGACTTGTAGGGGACCTCGAGCCCCAACTCAAAGAGCTCGAGTTACTTGTATCACCAGAAACTGTTGACGGTCCTGACATGCCGTATCAATTGGAAAAAGACCCACTCACTTTACTTCTCTCGTACGAACTCGGAAAGCTCAAGCCACCACCTCCTCCCTCACCGCCAAAACCAGCAAAGCCAAAACGCGATCGCAAGGCAGAGGCAGAGCGGCGTAAGCAGAGACTTCTGGATGCCGCAACAGCCTCAGCCTTCCGAGTTCCCATAGCACCGCGCACGCGTCGTGAGCACGCAGAAGCGGAGGCGTTTGAGGCGGAGGTTCATGGTGGGTCTTCCGGGGCGGAGTCGACGCCCTTGGATGAAAGTGGAGAAGGTGAGGGTGAGGAAGGGAGTATATCTGCGAAGACCAGACGTGGGACGAAGTGGAAGCGCGAGAAACTTGTGTTGCCTGGTCAGACTGACGTCCCGCCTGTGGTGGATGATGTGGATATGCAACGCTCGTTTAATATGTTCGATGCTGGTTGGATCCTTCCGAGTAGCACACGCAGAGGTGGGCGTGCGCCTGTTGAGAAGCAGGACTTGCCTCCACCGCGTAAGAAGCAAAAGACAGGTATGTCTAGGCCTTCTCTATTGGTAAACTCCTTTTGAACTCAGTGAAGGTCCTCCATCAGAGAGACAACGGTCAACATTGTCCTACAGCACTCCTGCGACAGAAAATCGCACCCTGCGCGAGGGTTCCCCGCATGGAGAAGACACACTTAGCGAAGTGCAACACAAGCGAGAAAGTAGCGAAGCTGTAGACCTGTCTGATCCAAACCTTTTGAACGCCCAACGTGATGTATCTCCTCCAGTACCTACAGAATCGAGTCTCGATATGAGCAACGGAAGCGGAGCGGAGGTACCTCCTGAATCTGAGCTGGAGCTTGAATCGGGGACGGAGGGGGAGGCAGAGCCTCAGGAGCACGCGGAGCCCGAGTCTGCTAAACAAGGGACGAAGACGAAGCGTCGACGGTCTCCGCGTCCGCCACCGATTGTTATTGAGGAGTTGGATACACCTGCTACTCGTCGTGCGAAGCAGCAGGCAAGGAAACAACGAAAAGCGGAAGAGCGAGCTCGAGCGGAGAGGGAGCGGCAAGCCGTTGCAGCTCAGGGTCCGCAAGGGAAAGCCGAGGAGGAGAGGAATAGGGAAGACTTTGTCGTCATCAAAACGTCTGGTTCTCCGGATTCGTCTCCATTATCCGAATTGCAGTTACCCGAGGGCGAAGGAGACGGAGACGAAGCAGATTCAGACCTCACCTCGCTCGACGAAAGCGCCGAGGCAGAGCAGCAAACCGGTGAACGATATGTCAGTACTGAGACGGAGGAAGAAAAGACACCTGACGGTCGGCTTGTCGTAAAAGCGGAAGACGCCCGCAAAGCAGCTGTCGCCGCGGGACTTGGACCCGCAATGATCCAAATAAAAGACAATGAAGTGCTTGAAGGTGGTACACTTGGTAGGTCCCTTCTCTGCGCTCTATCTCCGTACTTTAGTAGACCTGACGCAATGTCCTTTAGTTTGGGCTAAAGCAGGTATGTAGCGACTTCCTTTTACTCGACTGGTTTTCCCTCGTGTGTGAATAAGTGACTAAATTACCTTTATCTGCACGTGTTTGCGTGTTTAGAAACGTATCCATGGTGGCCTTCTGTGGTGTTTGAAGAGGACGATCCGGAAGTACCGCCTAACGTCCTTAGAGACAAGGCGCAGGCACGACCTGGATCTGGACCTTTGATTCTTGTAAGATTCTGGGACCAGCGGAAATCATGGTATGCGCGCCTCTTCCGCACCATTTTTTTTGTTTCGTAAGATATAGTAATACTCTAAATTACAGGCAATGGCTTCCTCCAGAGAAAATCCGGCTCATCGATTCCGATAAAGGTGCACAAGATATCCCCTCTTTGCATTTTGACAATTCCTCTTAGACTAAGCTAATCCATCTCACGTCATGCAGACTGGGACAGGAGAATGCTCGACGGAGACTCTAAGACCCAGCGGTTTAAGTCGACGAAGGTTCGAGAATCGTGTAGAGATGCATGGAGGTACGTACACAAGACGCAATTTCCTTTTACCCCTTTATCTTCATTCTTCTGACCTTTCTAACGTGCGGTGTTTGTTACTTATGACCGCTTTTGTTTCTCTTTGATAGGCAGGCGATGGCGGAGATGGAGACTCAGACGGGATATGCTGAAGGCGAGGGTGCTGGGAAGAGTAGTCTGGCTTTGACCGCGGATGAGGCGATGATTGTTGACCAATAGTCCTTCGGTTTGTAGGAATCGTTTGTGTATTGCTGTATTCATTATGACGTGGACGGAACGATCTGTTAGTTGCTTTCAGCTTTCTGACTTAGTACCTTACTCGTTTCTGGTTATGTGTATGACAAATATCATTTTTATGGCCTGTTCAAGGACTCTAGAGCAGAGTGTTCCTTGCCCTCCGCTATAGTGAGCGCTACTGCTCAATCTCAATGTCGAACGTGGCAAGGGAAGTATCTCCTTGTTTTTGCCTCTGTGGAGGCAGCTCAGTGCCAATGCCATAATGTCTACTCTACAAACATTTGTTACCTTTGCAACAATTCTGCACAACTAACATGCAGACACAACGGTCTGCCTTATTATCAAGACATCCCGCAAGCACTCTGCACTCTACCCACTTGCTTGTGAGTAAGGGTTGATGGGCATGTCACCTTGACATACATATGTGTTTGCAATAAGATCAAACAGGCATATTCGTCGAGGATGAGAACCGTCTAAAGTTGATTCTGGGTATGGGACAGACAATTTTAATTCACGTGACCTGATTACTCAGCCGGCCCTAATGCGGAGGAAGTGAAAACGATGATCGGGTTGAATCCCTCGTCCATCATCACCACCCTGCCTATCTCTCTCTCTTTCTTCCGCTAAGTATATATCCTCTCCTCTCCTTTCTTTCACTCTCTACCTCCACAAAAAAATGGGTCGCCCGCTCTTCTCGACTCTCATCGCCCCTGCTGCTGCCGCTCCGGCTCCTGCCGTACGTGTCGCTGAGCCTGAGGAAAAACTGCCCACCTACGAACGCTGGAGCTACGTCAATGCATTCGACCCCGACTCAGAGGAGTTTTTCAAGGATGACAATGTCGTCTACGAGGCATTCCTCACTCCAGAGGAGATCGCAGAGCGGGAGAGCACTGTGTCGACTACTGAGACGCGCGTTGAAGTCTCGACTACCACGTCCGCAGTTCGTAGACGTTTGCTCAGCGCAGCGCAGGCCAGCGGCGTCACTGCCATTGAAATAGTACCTGGTGAAGACGAGCGCCCGGAATTGCTTTCCCCGTCAGTGGATAGCGGTAGCGACACGGCGAGCAGCGGGCGCGTGTCGCCTGCAGAGACGGACGAGCTTTTGGACACGTCAAGGACGCGACGCGACGAACTGGACGGTGAATGGAACAGTCCATATCGTATCAGTGGACTCGACAACATACCGCCCTCACCAGCTCCCTTATCGGAACAATCATTGGCGCGTTCTCTACCGTCTACGCCGACACGCGCCAGTTGGCTCGCGGAGTCGCCAGTAGTCTTTTCCCAAGGTGATGAGCTTCCACCACCACCTGCCAGCGCTCCGATGGACATTCCTGCGTCTCCAATGCCACACCCAGCGCAGGCTGTCATGTCTCCTATGACGCCTCCAGGCAGTGTTACTCCGCGATTCCTTACTTGGGGAGGCTCTTCACGTCCCCGTGCGATCGACATGAGCCCCTCACCGACTCCCGGTGCGCCATTCGGGTCCGCGCGTGCTTCGCGTATGTCCGTCGCTTACATCTCTCCACCTACGCTGCGCGTTCAGCAGTGAGCGTTGACGGTTCTCGGGCGCTAAAAAAGGGCACGGGATCATACCTTCATTATGTCTCTCTCCAGTGCTCATTTTTCTTATTCTCTTATTTCTGATGCTTTCTCCCTCATCTGCTTATGCGCTAAAAGTACTGATTAGTCTGGGATTTCTTGCTGCTGCGAGAAGTGAATGGAAAATGGGCTCTTTCCCTTTTATACCTTGTTTTTTCATTCTTCCTGCCATACATGGTTCTCTTGCTTTCCTTTCGTCCGCGACATATTTTATTTGATACAGCGTTATATGCCCTGCTATATGCTGGCCGATTACTGTTACAGCGCCTGTAATAGCGAAAATGTATGGAGTAAAATTAGGTAGAATAAGTGTAAATTATGTGGATTATTTGTGTAGAAATGTGTGATCTGCTTACCATATCCAGTCCAATGCAACCTCCGTGTCCATCCTCCTTCGTCTAACTCGCAACTCTCTCTCTCAATATTCACTCTGTCCCATCACCCTCGGCAGCATCGCAGTAGTTACACTGCACTCGTTGTGTGCGACGACGAACACAATACGCATGCCGTCGGTCTCAGTCCTCCCTTCCTCTCCAGCACACAGAACATTCGGTGCTGGCACTCCTCCAAAGCTACCCGACACAGATGGCTCAAGGCCAGGTCCGAGTCCATCCCACCAGAATGGCGCGACGCCAACACCACCCACAACGCACGGAAATGACGATGCAGAGCTGACCGTCGCAGAGATCAAAGACAAGGTGCGCAACGCCGTGAAGGAAATCCGCGGGGCGTCGGCCATTTCGCTCTTGCGCACGGCGGGAGACCGGGCTGCTGCGGGAGCGGCGTACGAGGCGGTGGGTGACTTGCGCGCTGCGTATCGTGCGCTGTTTTCTTCTGCGCAGATTACGCAGGTTATTATGGACCACCCGGAGTTTAAGCAGGAGGCGAATGGGAAGAAGGGTGTTGTTTGGAACGAATGGAGCGAGTTTCAGATGGTGCGTGTCTTTCGGAGTTCTTCTCTCGGCTGATGTATGAATGACATGGCATATAGCGGTATGGGAATGAGGTGTTGAAGAAGGCGAAGAGCTTGGAGACTCGCCTGCTGGAGATGGACAAGGACAAGGCGAGAGTGTAGGTGTCCTCGTTGCTTGGTGGTGTCACTTTGTGCGCGTGCTAACCATGTTGTTCACCAGTGCCAGTGCCAGTGCCGACGGCGATCGAAAGGTTGGAGGCTCTATCGCAGATCGCATAAGATCTCTGCAGGATACAGGTCTGAATGTGCAGACGACAAAGCGTCTCTCGCGCGACCTCAGCTCTACTGTTGGTGCTGGCGGTGCTGGTGCTACTGCGGCTGTGACTTCGCCAACGACGCCTTCGTCCAGCACAATCACTCGAACGGCCTCCTCACAACATCACAATGGATCACCCAGCATCTCGCACTCGTCATCCATAGCAAGTCACGCTACAGGGTCCTCCATCCACTCGCTCGCGTCGCCCTCGTCATTCGGCCCGCCCTCGCCGTCCGTCTCGTCGCACCACGAATCGTCGCACCTCTCGAACTTCTCGCTTTCGGAATTCAACCAGACATTTCCGTCGATTGATGAACTGGACGAGAATATGGGCGTCGCACTCCCGCAGCTTCCGTCAGTCCCAACCAACAAACCAGGGACAGCAGCCAACTTCCCGCCGCCTGCCTCCCCCTCCGTCATCCAACGCTTCCCTTCTCTTCCTCTCGATCTCGATCCGGGTCCTCGGCCCGCAAGCACACCCATCCCTCCAACAATGAACGTCCTGCAAAGTCGACCACCATCGCCAACCCGTGCGGCAGCCCATCAACGCAGTAGTCCCCTATCACCTACAATTCCGCCGAAACCGGTCAGTTTGACGATGACGGGCAGTTCGTCTTCTACGCGCAATTCGCCTTCCCGGTCATCGCCGATGCACACGGGCGACTCTTCCTCACGATCAAAGGGAATTGAGTTGCCGGTGACGAATACGATTTTCCCAAAGGTTTTACACGAATATTTAGGTCGTGGGAACGACGTCAAGGTGCTTCTACTCGATGTGCGTACCCGCGACGAATTCGCGAAGGGACATATCAGGAGTGATGCGGTGGTGTGCCTGGAGCCACATGTCCTTCTTCGTGACGGGTAAGTTTATTTCGTATCAAAAGCGAAATACATCTTTTGCACTTCTTTTCTCCTTTCTCATGCATACACGTTTCTAGTCTCACGAGCGAGAAATTGGAAGATGCACTCGTTGTTGCACCACAGCATGAATCTGCAGTGTTCCGAAATCGGGACAAGTTTGATCTTGTTGTCATGTATGATTGGGATTCTGAGAGCTTTGGCGCTTCTGTTGCGCCCCTGGCCACTGCCGTGCGAATTATTTACGAGACGGCCTTTCAGCGTTCCCTCAAGAGACCACCAGTCATACTTGTTGGTGGACTGAAAGCCTGGGTAGCTACTTTCCCAAGCGAAGTTGCTCGTGACGAGGCCATCGCGTCTGTTGAATTAGACATGGAGCGAATGAAACTGTCTTCGCCAACTACGAACGGGTCGTCTTACACGTCCTATGTCTTCAAAGAACGGAGCGATTCGCAGTCCCCAGAGATGCGATCTCCAACGACGACAGGGTACTCGCGCAACAATCCGTTCGTCATGAATCAGATTCCGGAGAATTCCAGGTGCGTTTCATTCATTCTCTTCTTGATCGACATCATTCTTCTAGTCTATTGACACGTATCAATGGCTGTGCTGACCATATCTTTTCTTTTTAATTCTTATCTCTACAGCGCGTCAACGGAAGCTAACGGGGTGTCTCTACCTGAACCATCCCGGAGACGTGTTCGAAAACCTGCTATCTCTAGACCACCTTCACAACCCTCGATTTCGTTCTCGCCTTATATAAATGGAGCACACGCAGCGTCGGCAAGTGCATCGTCACCATCGATTTCATACCCGCAATTCCCGCGTACTTCGTCAAATTTCGGAACTTCTCTCCCTGCGAACGCAAATCAAGCAGGGATCGTCTCGCCTCCGCCTACTGCCTCGATCAACCCTTCCTTCTCACGACGACGTAGTGACTATATCGACCAATCTGAACAAGCTGTCTCGACATTCGCCAGTCGACCGTCAATCGACTACCCAGATCTCTCAGCGCAACACGTCGTCAGACCACCTCCAGTCGCAGCAACTCCACCATCCGAACGACAAGACCAACGACGAGCATCTGCACATGGAGCTCGACAATCGCTGGCAACTTTGGACGGACCGAGACCGCCGACGATTAATTCGGAGTATCCGGTATCGTATTGGCTGGATTCGAGTTTGATGACGGCTGGGTTGAAGAATCTGGGCAATACGTGTTATATGAACTCGACGATTCAGTGTTTGAGCGCGACTGTTCCGTTTGCTCGGTTCTTCATAGATGGTCGATGGAAGAGTGCCGTCAATTTCCTGAATCCTTTAGGGACTAAAGGTCACTTGACAGCTGCGTTCGCATCCATACTACATGACCTTTGGCATCAGGAGTCGCCAACAATAACACCTCTCGCTTTCCGAGTAGGTCCTCCTCCATACTCTTCAGAGTCCTGTTTCCTTTGCTGACTCAGAGGCCTTACCTTAAGAAATCCGTATGCATGTATGGCCAACAATTCGCCGGTTCCGAACAACATGACTCCCAAGAATTCCTCAACTTCCTCCTAGACGGGTTACACGAAGACCTCAATCGTATCCTCAACAAAGAACCCGTCCTCCGTACACCCGAACGCGAAGCCGAACTCGAACTCCTACCTCAGCAAATTGCGAGTCAGCAGGAATGGAATTTATATAGGATGAGAGATGATAGTATCGTTGTTGATTTTTTCCAGGGGCAGTTTAGGAATCGGATGGAGTGTTTGACGTGTAGGAAGACGAGTACGACGTATAATTCTTTCATGTATTTGACGTTGCCGATACCGATGGGTGGGAGAGGGTTTGGAGGGAAGGCAACGTTGCAGCAGTGTTTGGATGCGTTTGTACAGGAGGAAGTTATGGAGAAGGCTGATGCTTGGTATGTTTCTTCTATCCTCCATTTCTTCTCCACCCACCTAACTAATCAACCAACAATTCACTGATTATCGTATACCTTGCCACACACCGAAACAGGCAATGCCCAAACTGCAAAACCCTACGCAAAGCAACCAAGAAACTCTCCATCTCCCGACTCCCTCCCGTTCTCCTCATCCACCTCAAACGGTTCACTACAAAGGGACATTTCACAGATAAGCTAGAGACGTTTGTGGATTTCCCGTTGAGGGGATTGGATTTGACGAATTATATGCCGGCGCCGTTACCGCCGAATGTGGATCGGAGTAAATTGTACTCATCCGCTACGGGCATGTTAAATGGTAGTGCGCAAGTGGCGGGGACGACGCAGACCCCGATTTCGTTGGATGACCCACGGAGTCAGGTACCGCCGTATAAGTACGATTTGTACGCTGTGACGAACCATTTTGGGACGTTGAGTAGTGGGCATTGTGAGTTCCTTTCCTTTCCTTCCCCTTTTTCTTCATTCTTGCCTTGTTATTTTGCGTGATTATTGACATGATATATGTGCGTAGATACTGCGTTCGTCAATTCACGAGGGAACTGGCTTTACTGTGATGATAGTCGGATATCAACGGCGGATGCGAAGGAGGTCGTCGTACGTCGTCTTTCCTCTCCCTTCTTCCTCTTTGAATGTTCACTCACTCATGCTTTTATCTGCAGGGCAAACCAGCTTACGTACTCTATTACAAGCGTGTCAAGGGATAGTCCAGTCATCGTCATCTTGATGTTTCTCCTTGGAGTCGGAGTGACATAGTTTCAGACACTTCATCCCTTCCATTTCTTCCTCTCTTCCTCTCTCTCTCCCTCGCACGTCCGCCTACCCGATCCAATCCAGAGCTCTCCCTTCCTTCCTTCCTTAAGTCCATCTCTACTCGACGACTTATATCTTTACTAGCTAGCAGTAACTCGTACAACGCATACAAATTCATTCATCTTATTGTCAAGCCAACACATATTTCTATTATTTTTTGTTGTTTTTATGTTTTTTTTTTGTCTTTAGGAAATCGACTATCATAGTATTACATTACAATACATACGATGCAATTACATATCTTGTACTTTTTCATTCATCCAGACTCTTACTTTCTTTTTATAATTCTTGTCATTATCATTGTTTTTGACACTGATATATATATCCAATGCCCAATTGCAATGTGTTTGCTGTTTTCTTTGTTGTTTTTGACCTCTTTCTTATTTTCCAGTTTAGATTATTTTTTTTTGGTTGTTTATTTTGGTCTTGTATAATTTTGCTGCCTCCGGAAGGATTAGCATTAACAGCAGCAGACAACAATGATAATTGATATCTCAAACTGTCATTTCTTAAATAAGAGTGTAGAGAATCTTTAGACTAATATTGGTTTGTAACCAGACACTGTCGTATGTAATGATAGGAGGGCACTTTAAATTGTTCTAAATTAAAATAAACTAAAGTCATTTCACCCTGCATTAGTTTCAAAAAACATTGTTATATATATACTGTAACAATGACTGTTTCCGCTCAACAGAGAAAGAAATATATAATATGTTTAACAAAGTATTACAAAGTAACGTCTAATCAAGCGAAGCGCCTATGTGAAACAAGTTGATCCATCACTTAGTCCGTCTGAATACCATATTCGTGCTTTTGACTCTACTGCTGCTTCGCGAAGACCAGTAGCCGCTCGTTTGAACTTCGCCTCAACCCCCTCGTCGTAGTTGCACATTGTATTCGTATTCGTAAATAGTCTTGGTGAAATCGGGCCCGTCTCGATCATATAACTCCTACATCGTTCCAATCACGCTTCGATATCCAGAGGACTGCATTGCCGTGGCCAGGCGAAGCACTTCATCATGTGGGCTATCGTGAGGTTGTTCAGCGGTGTGGCAGGCGGAAAGCAATGCGAACTCCGCGTTCGGAAGAGGATCCAGGCTGCCATGGCGAACAAAATGCAACCGTGTCGTTTTCCGAAGTGCCTCGATTACAGGCGTGTGAGATGCCTTGCTGCTGAGTAATTTAGGCGTTATGCCACGATTCCAGTTGGCTCTTCTACCTCTTACAGTAATACGACCGTGCGTTAATGAGTGCCCAGAGCGTTAGAGTATATGATGGGATGTATTTGTCTAACAGATATTTCGAAGTGCGGTCTATATCCTTGAACGAGCTTGCAGCGTGAAAGGAAGCGCAGACAGCATAGACGTAGGGCATCATCAAATGCGCGATCCTTCGGCAAACCCAGTTCCCAAACTCCTTTCGTTTGGAAATGACTTTGGAGACGACCATATCCTACAACACCCTCATCGATTCGACGACCTTTTCACCGGATTCGGACGAGTAAAAGACGACTTCGGGTTTCCAGGAGCTCGGTGAGTTGGTGTACAACCCATACGTATCGTTGTAGGATTCTTCACCTAAAGAGACACATAACGCCGCCCTCGTCCAGTTGATGCCCCTAGTCTTCTTGCAGTTAAAAGAATAAGCAAGGCTACAAAGGAATCTTCATCACTAGTCGAGGTTACCAGCAGGACAAGGGCCAATTTTTCCAAGGAATCTCGTAGGGACACATAATGCCCCCTTCGTCCAGTTGTTGCTCTGAGTCTTCTTTCAATTAAAAGAATAAGCAAGGCCGCAAAGGTTGCTTCGTCGTTAGTCGAGGTTACCAGTAGGACAAGGGCCATTTTTTGTAGGGGAATTCGTAGGGACACTTGGTCGCGCTGGTGCCGGCGAGCCATGGTTGAGTTGGTATGAGATGTCTCACAAAATGAACAAAAAATGTATTTTATTTAGGCTGCTGGGTCAGCTGACAACCTTAGTTCATTCTCCAACACGTAAAATACAGTACTTAAACACGGTTAGGACACCTCGTTCTGGGCATCCTTTTTTCTGCAGAGCAGAGGTAAATACTCGTTATAAACAAGAATCGAGACTAGCTACAGATAATCGGTAGATCTGTGTGCGGGATAAAATAACATGCGCGTCGGATCGATACTCACTATGGTTGACTACGATGACCGGACCCACTGAAACTACTTGTTGCGGTACTTTAAATGATGTACTGTATTTCACCCAGAAACGCTCACTTTAAGGGTATTTGCAGACTATAATTACTAAAACTCATTATTATTTCACAAAAAAAATACTATTAGAAAGGTCTTCATATTAGCTACAAAACGTATGTTTTAATGTTTTGTAAAATTAAAAAATAAATATTTTATTGAATTTACGCGTGAAGGACTCAAAACTGAGCGTTCGACGTGATTCACCAGGAAACGCACACTCGTGGGAAACTAAACTTAGAGAAATTCGCGCGTGCATTCACTCAGTATGCAGACTCGACTTCAATCCTATCCAGACCAATTTACTTTGGTCTGGGCAGAAATAAAGGTAAGTACAGTCTATTAGTCATATACACTCTATTAATTAATGGAATATATGGTTCTTTATACAGGAACAGGCTCGTCGTGATGACTTAGAGTCTCTTGCCTACATTCTAATGTCTGCTTCTTGCTCTCCTCTGCCTCTCGTTCTCCTCCTCCTCTGCTTCCAGAATTCATTACACTTATTATAATTATTAAAGAATAATAAAGTAACTTACTTTTTAACAATCATTTCAACTTTTTCTTTAAAAAGTTTTTGAGTTAAAGGAATAGCTCTAGAAGAAAGAGATTTGGTCCAATCTTTTAAAATAGTTTCTTGGGATGAAGATAAAAGTTGAAGAGAAGAATGAGAATTAAAACGATTAGAAATGCCTTTAAGTCTTCTATTAATGGAAAATCTTGAAACACCAAATTGCTTTGCAGCAGCTGATTTAGAAAGAATAAATCTAGTAGAATTAGGATAAGTACCAGATGCCAAAACTGCCTGAACAGCTTGACTTAGCTTAGCCTCCTCTATATCAGAGAGGGCTTTACTACTAGTAATAGAAGAGGATTTAGAAAGTTTTCTAGCCATAAGAAGCAAAGAAGAATAAAGGATTTTGAAAGGAAGAGAAGACAATAATGAATGTAAAGAAGAAAAAAAAAACTTCTCTTCTTTTTTTTCTGCGCTATGTTAGTTGCTATAGTGATCGCTTAATACTGAAACATATAACCTTTAACATACGTATGCTTTACAATTTTTTTAACTATAAAAACTGTACTAATAAGTAATATAGTAGATAATAGTACTTTATATATATATATAGTTTTGATTTAATTATAATAATTTTAATTCTTAATATTTTCTCTTAAAATTATAGAATAATATAGTAAATATATCAAGAATACTAGTACCAAATTTTTATATATAGTTATAATAGTAATTATTGTAATAAAAAATTCGTAAGTTATAACTATAAACTCTGAATTATAGAAAGTAGTAAAATTAGACTTAAAATCGTATT